GTGCTCAGTCAGTTCACGAAGAGTGCTAGCCAAGACTATTCTGCCGCATTATCATACCTCATTATTGTCATAGGACACATCCAATATTCTCCTTAGCTATGTTTCTCTAGCCTTTTTCAGGTATTCACTGTGCATATATTGAGCACACAGAGAATGGAGCTGGGTTGTTATCACAGCTTACTGTTTCTGCCCTTCACGTGTCCTCTAGCCCCAGCCATTGGTGCCTTGTGTTCAACACAAGAGCCCCCAAGACATATGACTATTCCAGGCCTCTCTGCACATTTGGTGTCAGCATGAAAGGAAGGTCTGAAAGAGGTATATTACATGGATGGGGTGTTAGGGGAGGGGTAGTACCTCAGATGGGGGGGGACATGTTGTGCTCCTTCTGGATGTCCTGAACCCCTGGCTTACCAGGCAGCAAGTTCAAAGTCTGAAGGTTCAAAAAGTGTGAAGGTCAATCCAAGTAGCCAAGTCCAAAATCCAGCAGTCAGGATACAGTCCAGAGTCAAACCCAAAGCACAGTCCCATGGAGGCCCAGAAGCATCCAAGTCAAGGTCCCTCAACATGGACAGTTGAGCAGACACATCACCTCAGCTCTGCTGCCCTTTTATACTCTGCATGCTGATTGCAGCATCTGGGCTTGATGAGGCCATGTGACCCTCACCTGTTCCAAGCCTACTCAGGCTGAGGAATCACCACACAACCCCACCTGGCCAGATAGGCGAGCTGGGCTCTGGCCCTTGCCTCCCTCAACCTCCTGGAGTTATCCATCCACTGCTCCCTCTGCCTCAGAGCCTTGCCGTGTTTGTGACAGGGTACCCTCTGGCTCTGGTGATGGGTCCTGCTGCTCTGGTTCCTGTGCACTGACCCTCATCCTCTTGTCATCCTCAATCACCCCATGAGTACTTCCTACACCAACCTTCCCTTCTGCATCCCCAGCTTGCCCCAGTGTGTCCCAGTCCCAGCTACATCCTTCGCTGGGATCCTCTTCCTGCTCCCCATTGCCCTGCCAGTTCATGACACTGCGGTAACTGTGGCTTCCACCTGCACTCTCACCTGTGGCTCTCAGAAGCTGTCAGCATGCAACAGCGGCCACACCCCAGGAACAGCTTCAACTGGCCATCTAAGTCAGCTGAGGGTACCCGATGGGTCTCTAGCCCTTGGTGACAGGGACATCCCCTGCATGCGAAGACAGGCTCTTGTGGATTGAGCGGGCGGGATCAATAGTGAGTCCAATTGACCAGAAGGCAGTTTCTGTGCATGCTGTAGAGAAAAGTGAGGGCAGATGGGGCTCATCAACCTGGGAAGGTAACATAGCTAGAAGAAGGAAAGCTCTAGTCCTAAACCTTTGATGTCTTGTGGGATATCTTTGGGAATAGAAAAGGATAAGGAGTAAACTCTACACAAATCCAGGGGAGCTCCTAAGATAGTGGATGTGCCTTGTGTCTCCTTCCAGCAACTCCTGCAGCCAAATTTGGTGCCAAACATTGCCCTGCTTTCCTTTGAATCACATCAGTGACATATTGGGGTGGGCATGTTGTGTCTTGTTGTCTAGGCATCCTATACACACTGCCCAGGTTTGCACTCCAGGGAAGTCACCTCAGTGCTGCTAACACAGTGGTGTGACTTCGGCCTTGGAGGCGCACTCTAGGCAAGGCAGATACGCATAGTGTCTTTGTTGTTGTTTAGTTGTGTCCGACTCTTCGTGACCCCCATGGACCAGAGCACGTTCTGGTCAAAATTCCCGGTGTTTTCGGACTAGCACAAAATTGCCAGTTCTCACACTTTGGACCCAAAGTTTTAGGATGTTAGCCAAGGAGTTATTTGAGGGTGAGAAGTGAAGGGGGCAAGCTATTCTCAAAGGTCTGGCTCTCCTCTTCCGATGGTTAAGCCACCCATTTCTAGCATTTTCTTCTGCGTAGGATAGTAAGGCATACACCAAATTTTTATGTCTGCAAGAGACCTGAGGGCACCTTTAAAAGTGGAAACATTAGCTGAAGCCTTGAGACCTGGCAACCTTTTGCTGGGAAATGACTTACAGCTGTGCAATATACGTACAAGCAAACATGCTGACGCTCTTCTGTTCTGAGATTTTCCCAAAAGAACAAACTGTTCAGAGACCTAACAGGGAAAAAGCAGCAGCACTGATAGCAACACATAAATTTAGGAATTCCAACATGTCGTGGGCTCAGCTGCCCTTGCTTTGGGGTTAAAGAGCCTGGAACAGAAAGCAAGCATGCGGTTTCTAAACTTTGACATGGGAGTGATCACTGCTGCAGAATGGTCTGGTGTTTGCCTTTGTAACTGATGGCCAGTCAGCTCACAATTTTGTCTGTTGCTGACCACTGCTCTATGGTATCCAGTTCTGTATATACACTTCCAAAAATACAGTCTTTAAAAACAAACTCGGATCTACCCAGTCCTTACATACAAGGGGAAAGGCTTTGACTCCGGAAGGCACAATCTTTTTGAGACTGAGATACTCTTCTCTTACATATTATATGGGGGGGGGGAGAGAAATTGATTTTTTTTCACTGAACTGTTGGAAAGAAAAAAAAATGGATGGCAAAAGGCAGTGGGGATTTTGGACCACAAAAGTAGTCTTCGGAGTAAACTTTGAAAGCACATTTCAATATTGTGCATACATTGATTTGAAGACTGAATCTTCAAGGAATTTAGAACTTTCTGGCAAGGAACAAAGTGGTACAGGGCACTGGGTCTGAACCAAACCCCGAGGCAGAAAATTTGAAGTGGGTGGGAGGCTGTGTCTTCCAGATTGTGCTGAACTATAACTCCCATCTTCCCTGACTGTTGGTCATGAAGGCTAGAGGACCACAGGTTCCTCACTCCTAATGTAAATGAAACCGATGTTCTCTTCCACAATACCTATTTATTTCAATATCTTGGGCTTCTACAAGAACTTCCCTTCAGACTGAACCTGTGATGGATCAGGTCTGCCTCTGCCCCTTAGTGGTACCAAAATGCCACGAGAGACTGCAACCTCACATTGGTGTATAAAAGGCCTGCCTCTAGGTCTGTGTTTCCCAACCTTGGGTCTTCAGGTGTTTTCAGACTACAACTCCCATCATCCCTAGTTATAGCAAGACCAGTGGTCAGGAATGATGGGAATTGTAGTCTGAAAACAGCTGGAGACCCAAGGTTGGGAAACACTGCTCTAGAGGAAGCCAATAACCTTAGGTTACCCCAATCAGGCCCACATCCTGGATTCAGCAGAATGCAATTTACCTCACTTAGGGGAGCTGAAATCCAACCATAAAATGCCCCCCAAACCCCCTGTATACCAAATTCACAAACTCCAATAATTACTCAAGACAAATCGTGTAGAAAATGAAAACCATTGTACAGTACAATTCTCAGATATACAAATACTTATGACACAACTGATTCTTTTAAAAGTCACCCACAGCAGAATACCTTCAATGTACCCACAAGCTGGAAAACACAGGTTTCAGAGAGAGAGAGAGAGATTGAACAGGGCAAGGGGTCGGGGCGGAACAAACTTTAGAAATGGCACAAGTCATTTCCCCACCTTCTCCCACACCACAAACCAAGTCTAAACGTGTTCCTTCAGTTGATGCTAACGGTAGCTCCCCTCACCTTTGTGCATGCAAGGAGGGGCAGCTCCAGAGGGCTTCTTCCTCAGGCAGTTTGCCCTGACTGAGATGGCTCCCTGGTTTCTTTGCAAAATTCATACTTCCACGTCCCTTGTGCTGTTAATTTTTTTCCCAAATTCTGCTTCCTGAGGAAGGATGGGGACTGACTGGCTGTAGGTACAGCAAACATTCCACATTGTTTTAGACAATAATTGAGTCCACCATCTTGATAAGACAGAAATGGAAGCAACGGAATAGGGAGCATTGGGCCCAAGCTTAGTGCCACTATAACCTAGTGCTGTCTGGATTATTTGGACTGTGACTCTCATCAGCCAAGCTCAACATGTAAGGAGACTGAGGAACACACCATTGTTCCTCCCATTGAGCTGGCTCAAGAAACTTTAGTAGGGGAAGCAGGAAATCCAAATAGCCTCTACAATACAGACATCATGCCTCTGAATACCAGTTTAATGGAAACCACAACTGGGGAGAATGTTGCTGTACTCATGTTGATTTGTGTGTTTCTCCCAAGTTGGCCCCTGTGAGAACAGGATGCTGGAGTAGTTGGGCCACTGGCCTGATCCAGCAGACACTTCTTATGTTCTTACCACATACTATCAATGTGTGCATGTGTCTTTGTTGAACATCCCCAGAGATGTTTCGCTCTACAAGACTTAACTGAAAGCCCATCTGCTGCAATGAGGTTTGTACAGGAGAACTTCCCAGTGAATTGTGCCAGTTGGATTTATCATCTCAATTTCTGCCGCCCTTAATGGCACCTGGAGCCAGACATTGAAGCAGCCGCTGTCACCTGTTTATTGGTAGGGCTGCCTCTATACCAGAAAGAGGCAGGGCACAGAAAACCAGTGAGGACCACAAAAAAGGTGATTGGTGCACTAGATCAAAGGCCAGTGGTAGCTTTTCTCACCACTCTTCATGAGAAGCCCCCTGTTGCATTTTCTTCTACATCCCAGCAGTCTTTGGCTGGCTGAGGTTAAAAGGACCATCCCGTCCTAGTTGCTTTCGGAAACCCTCCCAAAGTAATGAGCGATTGGTACGTGGCCAGATTCCAAAACCAAGGAACATTCAACAGAATTCTCCAGGCTAGGTATCCAAAAATCAACATAACTGCAGGGGGGAGTGAGGAATGACAACAAAACATTTCCAAGAGCTGGGAGCAAAGTGCAGTTTGATAAAAAAGTACAGTCCTCACAGATTAATTCACTGAGTACCATTGCCCTGCTTTAGGGCTTTGTGCATTGTTTCTCAGTCTGTATAAATTACAGGAATGGAGCAATTTTGCACCATTTCTCCCATTTTGCATAGTTATTCTGCATTTCTGATTGTCATGGACAGAAGAAGGAGCTGAGCGGAGTCCATCTCCCATCTCTGGAAACCTTAATTTAGACCCCTCTTGGGCTTCTGAGATTTCAGCAGGCATTGTCCACAGACTTTCAAGCACATATTAGCCAAGTTCTCTCTCTTAAAAAGCAAAAAGGAAGGAATATGGTTCTCGGAAGCTAAATGGCTGCACCCAAAGCTACACACTGCGGGTTTCCAGTTCTCCAATGTAATAGGAGGCATGCACCCAGCCCCACCCAGGGGTGTGAGGAACCTTTGGCCCACCAGATGTTGCTGAACAGCAACTCCTAGCAGCCCTAGCCGGCCCACCCAAGAGGCAAGGTGAGGCAACTGCCTCAGGTGGCAGATCCCAATATCAATCTTTATTCCCCCCGCCCTTGTTCCTGATGTAAATCTTCATTGATCCCTTCTTCCATGGTGGGGAGGGGAGTGAGCCATTTTGTGGTTCGTCTTAGGTGCCAAAATATATTGGGCCAGCACTGTCTAGCAGGCCTGGCCAATGGTCAGGGATGATGGGAGGTGTCGTTCAGCCATGTCTGGAGGGCCACAGGTTCCCCTACATGTTACATATTGGTTCTATGGGGCGACTTAACCTCTCTCCCCTCTGAAACAACATGCCACCTTAGCTTCTCTTTTTCCCTTTTCACCCATTGCCTCAGAACAGGGCCACAACAACCACCAGGGCATAAAATGTGGCGCTATACAAAAAGAGAGTTCAAAACATGGTGTTATTTCTTAGGGAAGCACTCCAAAATTATTCTCTCTCTTAATTAAGATGCTCAACTGTTCTCAGTTTGCCAAGCTGTCCAAGCCAAGAAATGAAGTTGGTTTTAGTTCCTCACCTGCGTCTTCTGGAATCTTCTTGAGAGGGCAAAGGGGTGGGAAGGAATGCCACAGGGGGCTCTCGCCACTAGGCAACATTGTTTTCTTCTTCCTCCCCAGACACCACCAAGATATTGTGTTTAAGGAACATCACAATTCCACACACACACACCCAGTTTACTCTGTTGTAAGGACGCAGGTGCCCCTGGCCCCGATCCGAAGGTCAAGGAAGCACATTCCCTTTTTACCACTGTCATTAAATGACCAATAACAGAAAACACACCACCGTTTTTATGCGACACCCATGCGTTGCCCTCATTTTTTACAACACACGATCTCATGGTTCTCCCCTTCCCACCCCATGTCAGTACCCTTAAGTTTGTTTTTTGAAAATGTACCTTAAACAAAAAAAAGTAGCGTTCCACCTATTAGTTCTTTAGCCCAGTCAGTGGTCTGACCCTCTTTGTCTCGTATTTGAAGGGAGAAGAGGAGGGGGCAGAAGAGCAGCCCTTTTTTCCTGTATGTCAGGCACGTCCCAACTCCCAAGAGACTGCGATCTACTCCCAGTATAAAAAAACTGGCAGTGATCTACCCACTGTCATTGCCAAGAGTTCTTGAGCTTTTTTGGGGAGAGGATTTCCCACAGTTTTTGAGTTTTTTGGGGGGGAGGATGCACCAGAGTTGTTGCACCCCAGCAATCGACCTGTTGTACATTCCTGCTGTATGTCAAATGACAGTTGGGCTGGGTTGCCCAAACTGCATGACAGGAGATTGTCACAAACAAAGTGCTTTCGCCCAACTGCCAGGACGAGAAGGAGCGGCCTACTAGGCCTCAAGAGGGCTGTGCTAAGGCCTCAGTGAATCCCGCTCATCTTGCATGCATTAATAGTTCGTTCGTTTGTGTCCTGAGCTGCCTAAATATCAAAAATAGTTTTCAGTGGTGACAGGGGTCCTCACGCAAAGTCCTTGGGGCGAGAAACCGACTCGGCTAGGCCTAGGTACTCCAGGTTCTCCGCCGTCGGCGTAGTGGCAAAGCTGTTGGTGGCAGGAGCGGCAGAGCCGGCAAAGAATTCTGCTGGGTTGCTCTTGGGAGTCTCCTGGTTCCAGTAATATAGATTGTCAAAGGCCTGAGGCAAAGGGCCGGCCAGAGGGAGGTTGCAGGGCGTCAGGTACTCTGGGTTTTCCACCACGTTGCTGAAGCTGCTGCTGTTATGGAAGGCGTTCTTTGGTTCCTTGATGAGCCCGTTCTTGCCCAAGTGACCCTTTGGCTTTTCTAGGGTGGATCCTGGCGGTCGAAGGCCTTTGCTGGATGGAAGGCTGTTTTCTGGCTGGTTCACATACTCTGCAGGGATAAGAGAAATGCAAAACAAATGGCCGAAACCAGGACGCAGTGACTTCCACCAACTTTCCACCCAAACTAACAGCAAACATGGCTTTTCGAGTCCTCAAATAAGACGCCACACTTGCTACGGGCAATCCACAGCCACAGGGGCTGGAAGCTTGTTTTTGAAACAAAACAAAACCACACCAAAACACTTTTCAAGATTCCCCAATTGAAATTTTTGCAAGGACATACATTACGAACAAGGCACATACCTGGCACCATACTGCAGGGCACAGGTGAATTGTAGTTCTTAGCTTCTGGGCTCTCGTTTTCATTAATCGAGGCACCAGTGGGATCTTCGCAGTAGCGCTGCAGAGTGCTTCCTGTATAGTCCCCTTCGAGCAAGTCAGGGATGACAGCTCCTGGCTCTTCCAAGAGAGGCGGGCCCAAATAGGGGTACTGAGCTGCTTGCTCGGGTTCATCCTCATCCATTGGAGTCTCTGTGGTACTCTGGAAAGTGGAAAAAACAGGTGTGCGCTTCAGCATTGCCTATGAACCACACATGCCAAGTAGAAACCTGATCGCCGAGGGTAAGTGTAAGCTGAGAGTTCAGGCTTAGGGACCATTTTGCAGACCTGGCCTGCAGGGAAGGAGATTTGAAATTCTGGGGATGGGGTGGCTAATCTTTCTTGGCTGAACTGCCACACTCAGGGTTCACAAGCCCTCTGATTTTGCCACCCCCCCAAAAAAGCTAGGTGGTCTTGCTGGGCAGTATAAGGCAAAAGGTAAAGGACCCCTGGACGGTTAAGTCCAGTCAAAGGCGAAGATGGGGTTGTGGCACTCATCTCGCTTTCAGGCCGAGGGAGCCAGTGTTTGTCCGCAGACAGCTTTCCGGGTCATGTGGCCAGCATGACTAAACTGTTTCTGGCACAACGGAACACCATGACGGAAACCAGAGCGCACAAAACCGTCGTTTACCTTCCCACCACAGCGGTACCTATTTATCTCCTTGCACGTTGATGTGCTTTCAAACTGCTAGGTTGGCAGAAGCTGGGACAGAGAAACAGGAGTTCACCCCGTCGAGGGGATTCGAACCGCCAACCTTCTGATCGGCAAACCCAAGAGGCTCAGTGGTTTAGACCACAGCACCACCCACTGTGTATACAGCCTGTAGGCTATGGGCTGGTCACCACCTCTCTCTTTTGCAAACTTATTGAAATATTCCATACAGGAGTTTCCAGCACATGCGCTTTACAGGAGAGAAGGGCATGCCCACTGGGAAATCCAGCCTGAGCAGGATACAAACTGGCTTTGTCTATTATCACCATAAACTGATAATAGCCACATGCTTACCCTGGTTGAGGGGATCCTAGAGCGATAGTCTGCAGATGCCTCGCCATTGAAAAAGCCCTGGTGGGGTACCAAGTACTCTTCGGCATCCACCAGATCTTGCATGTCTTCTTCCTCTAGCAAAGTGCGGTAGAAAGTGCTGTCTATGGGGCTGGCAAGACCCATTTTGTCATCGTTCTGCCAAGGAGGAACAACCAGAAATATTAATATGCATGCATGTTCTAATAGACAGCAATAAACGGCCTCGGCCCAGTATACCTGAAGGAGCGTCTCCACCCCCATCGTTCTGCCCGGACGCTGAGGTCCAGCGCCGAGGGCCTTCTTGCGGTTCCCTCATTGCGAGAAGCAAAGCTACAGGGAACCAGGCAGAGGGCCTTCTCGGTAGTGGCGCCCGCCGTGTGGAACGCCCTCCCATCAGATGTCAAAGCCATAAACAACTACCTGACATTTAGAAGACATCTTAAGGCAGCCCTGTTCAGGGAAGTTTTTAATGTGTGACATTTTAGTGTATTTTTGGTCTCTGTGGAAGCTGCCCAGAGTGGCTGGGGAAACCCAGCCAGATGGGCGGGGTACAAATAATAAATTATTATTATTATTATTATTAATTATTTGTGGCTTTGAGAATTCCACGGCTCCTGCAGGAGGAGTGGGCTTAGGGTTTATCAAAGTAGTCCATATAGCATCTTCTCCGTAATTCTTACACAGTAGGTTAGTGGACACCTCAGTCAGTAAAGCATGACACTCTTAATTGTCGGGATTGGGGATTCAAGCCCCACAATGGGCAAAAGATCCCAGCATTGCAGGAGGTTGGACCAGATGATCCTCATAGTCCCTTTCAACTCTACAATTCCATCATTCTAACTCTAAAGGACTCAAACAAATGAGCCACACCATATGCTACAAGGGGGCAAAGAACGCCACACATAAAAAGCTATTTGTTAAGCTGGCTCGGGAGTAAAATTCCCTCCCCCAGATCAATCTGATCCCAGGCATGGAAGAGACGCTAATCCACCCAGGCCCAGTTAAAACAGGAGTCAGACAGTACGTGTTCAGAAGCCTCCCAATGACTGTGGCAGCAACAGCTATCAGGCTCAGCAATCACAGACATCATCAGCATCACCCCTCACTTTTGGCAATGCCTTGCTTCTCCTAGCAGTAGATTACACCAGCTGCCAGCAGAATCAACAAGGAAGGGCTGTTCCCTTCATGGCCTGTTTGTGGGCTTCCTGGAGGTATCTAGTTGAACACTGTTTTTGAGGCAGGAGGGTGGACTAGATAGGTTTGGTCTGTTCCGGCAAGGGACGTTTTACGTTCTTGTGTTTATTCCTTCCCTCCCACCACTTACCTGCAGCTGAATAAGATGCATAACGAAGGAAAATCCCTTATTAGAAAAGTTAACCAACAAACTTAAAACTAGCACAGGGACAAGCAAAGGAGGACAACTTCATTCCAGTATGGTTCCCCTTTATCATATCACAGCACAACAGGACAATGACTTATTCCACCCCCCTCCACAACAACATACAAATCAATATGGCTAACGTGACCCAACAACCGACCCCTGCCCCACCACACACATACAAACAAGGCACACTGCAACAAACTGAACACAACCCAACCAGGCATCTCCAAACTCGGCCCTCCAGATGTTTTGGGACTACAATTCCCATCATCCCTGACCACTTGTCCTGTTAGCTAGGGATGATGGGAGTTGTAGTCCCAAACCATCTGGAGGGCCGAGTTTGGGGATGCCTGCCCTAACCTCCCTCTCTCTCTCTCTCTCTCTCTCTCCTCTCTCTCTCTCTCTGTGTGTGTGTGTGTACACACACAAAGGATCTATCCACATGATGCTAACACTAGGCAATAGAATGAAATAACAACACACACACCCAATTTTTCTCCCTCCCTCCCTCTTCCCCCAATTGAACTTTTCTCTGCTTATTTGTCCATTTTGTAACACAAGAAAATATTTCATAAAAGCTAATTTAACACAGTGGAGAAAAATCCCCTTTGAACACAGCCTAGGTCTTGGCAGGATGAAAGAGGCTTTCCCTACCACCACTCCTGGCTCACCTGGATGACCACGAAACGCTGCGGATCCCTGGCCATGCGCGTGAATTCAGTGACCAGTTCTCGGAACTTGGGCCTGCATTCTGAGTCGATCATCCAACCTGTGTGGGCAAGCACAGCCAGCACTTGGAATGAATTAGTTCGGTTTAATCAAGTTCACTGAATTACTTAAAAATTACCTAAGCTATCCCTGAAGGTAGCTCCCATAATTGACAGGTAAACTGAATATGAATTAATTTCATTTGGGGCTAGAACTCTGAATGATTTCTAGTTCATCTTCATTATCTTATATGTGTGCTTTTCTTTACTCTTTGGGCGCTTTGGGCCTTTAAGATTAAACACCACAATTGTTGGGGGAAATAAATTAAACCATTCACATTTGACTTGTGTGTTTGGGTATTTTCTTAAGTGTATTTTATACTTCGGCACAGAAGCTTGTAATATTATGAAAAACAAACATGCCAAGGATCCATTGGGTGAGGTTGAATTGAACCGGCTCCTGAAGACAAACCGAACTAGTTCATTTTGTCAAGGGACAAATTGGAACTGGAACCAGCTCCTTTGTAAAATGAACTTTCAAGCTCTGAATACAAATGTTTAGCCAAAAGGTTCAAACTCCAGAAAATACAAGTTAAAGATGCAGACCTTCTTAGGAGGCACCATCAAGATTCTCCAAGAAAAGGGTATAGCTCAACTTGCTGGCACTCCACTTCCCTTTAAGGCAGTGTTTCCCAACCTTTTTTGGGGCAAAGGCACACTTGTTTCATGAAAAAAATCTCGAGGCACACCACCATGCCAGATGGGGAAAGGTCACTTTTTACTTATGTAAAAAAAATAAAAAAATAGTAACAGCATAGAAGGTAATGGTTATCTCTTTGATGTCTGATGGAAGGGCATTCCACAGGGCGGGCGCCACTACCGAGAAGGCCCTCTGCCTGGTTCCCTGTAACCTCACTTTTCACAGTGAGGGAATTGCCAGAAGGCCCTTGGCACTGGATCTCAGTGTCTGGGCTGAACAATGGTGGCGGAGACGCTACTTCAGGTATACTGGACCGCAACCGCTTAGGGCTTTAAAGGTCAGCACCAACACTTTGAATTGTGCTCGGAAAGGTACTGGGAGCCAATGTAGGTCTTTCAAGACTGTCGTTACGTGGTCTCGGCGGCAGGTAGCAGCGCTCACAGCTTACGGACTGCACCGTGTAACAGGTGTCTGGCCCAGCAGCCTAAGGCGGACAAGCCACTGAAACAGGCATTCAGAATCCATTCATTTCATAAAACCTGCAGGGCTCAATCTCTGTGTTTGTGTATGTGTGTGTTTCTGTTTTGCCCAAGGGTCTGGGGGTGGGAGAGAGCTCTTTAGCATGATGCTTTTAAAACAATTAAATTATCAACAAACAAACCTGATGATACGAATAGCAACGTCAGGTGCTTGGGGGGGGGGGAGAAGGGGGCCTACTCAGAAGCAAATACTGCGTCCAGGCGCAATTAGCGCTGATTTAAGGTGCACCAAGATTGCCTAAAAACCTCACCAAAGATATGCAACAAAGTGCTTCGTTGCAGAGGGGAGAGTTTGTGCACCGTGGAGGCTGGAGGGCTTCTATTCTACATGCGGGGGTTGGGGGGGCGAGGAAAATGTGCTCCGTGGTGGGGCGGGGAAGGCAAAGTTGCAAAAGCGCCCTGCTCCTTCTTCCGCGGAGGGAAACGCTCCTGCGGAGGCGAGAGGCAGCGAGGAGGCGACGAGGTGAGGCTTTTGTGAGGTAGGGAGAGGAAAGACGGGGGAGGGAACCCAAGGAGGATTTGCACGAGAGGGAATGAAGGGGAAACGCGCCTCCCACGTGGAGCACTTTTCCCCGGGAAATGCACAGGGTGGGGTCGTGGCTGATCCGTGCTGCGCGCTCGCGTCGTGCGGCCCAAAGTGCTGCAGGATCGCCAATGCAAGACCCCCTTTTAAAACCTCCCCCTCCCCCAGCTCTGGAAAAAAAGGGGGAAGGGGATGGCGTCGGCGTGTGGAGGCTGCCCGTGCCCGGCCAGGCGTCGGTGGCGGTGTCAGCGCTGCTGCAGTGGCTGCTCCTCCTGCGAGCAGTGAGTGGAGCGCAGCCGCAGTGGCGGCGGGGGGCGCGCGCGCGCTAGGGCGCAAGGCTGGCGGTGGCGGCGGGGAGCCCGGCGGAGGAAGGAACTTGTCCCTTCCCTCTGGACTCGCGCCCCCCGCAGATGTTGCGCCCGGTGCGACTGGCACCCCTGGCACCCCCCACGCTACGCCACTACTCCTACGGCACACTAGGCAACGTCCGGCGGCACACTAGTGTGCCGCGGAACACCGGTTGGGAAACACTGCTTTAAGGCAATGGTTCTCAACCTGTGGGTCCCCAGATGTTGTTGGACTACAACTCCCATCATCCCTGAGCTCTGCCCTTGCTAGCTAGGGATGATGGGAGTTGTAGTTCAACAACATCTGGGGACCCACTGGTTGAGAAGGGCTGCTTTAAGGGCTATGGGGTGCCAGCGACAACAAAGGCTACAGTAACCAAGGGCCTTGCCCCTATATTTCATTGCAACCCTTTTTCCTTTCACCTCTAGCTTCTTACATTTCACCATGATCATGTAGACATCAATGGTGCAGATGGGAGGCTGTGGTAACCTCTCTCCTTTCTCCAGAAGGTCAGGGATCTCTCGGGCGGGGATTCCATCATACGGCTTGGCTCCAAAAGTCATCAGCTCCCACACAGTCACACCTGGAGAGACAGGTAAGGGAGTCCCGTCAAGCGCCAGCCGGCGTCTCGCCGCAGGAACGAACAGGAGGGTCCCCACCAGCCCCCACTTACCATAGCTCCACACGTCGCTTTGGTGTGTGAAACGCCTGCGCAAGATGGACTCCAGGGCCATCCATTTGATAGGTACCTGGGCAAGGCAAATGGCACAAAGTTGACCACTGTGGCGTCAAACCATCCCTCTTGTGGGCTGGTTCCAAGCAGCAGCTGTGTGTGTGTTTGTGTGGGGCAGGAGAACAGGCTTATGGGCCTAGTTCTTAGGGAGCTAGTCAATCTGCGCCTGGGCCGTACCACCACAAGAGGGCAAGCCCAGGGACACAGGATGGAATCCCCCTTCACAGAGAACACGCTCCCTGTACAGTGGTACCTCAGGTTAAGTACTTAATTCATTCCGGAGGTCCGTACTTAACCTGAAGCTGTTCTTAACCTGAAGCACCACTTTAGCTAATGGGGCCTCCTGCTGCTGCCGCGCTGCCAGAGCACGATTTCTGTTCTCATCCTGAAGCAAAGTTCTTAACCTGAAGCACTATTTCTGGGTTAGCAGAGTCGGTAACCTGAAGCGTATGTAACCTGAAGCATATGTAACCCGAGGTACCACTGTATATAGAAAGCAAGCATGCCAAGCTAAGAGGTAGGCCACAGACCTTTCCTCCAAGAGGCTTATTTTCTAGAGAGAGGGAGAATTGTTTTGCCTTCAGACTCATTCGATCACGTGGGCCCTCACATGCACTTCGAAGTGTTGCAGCTCAGACACAGGCTCACTACCTCTGCTGTTGTGTGTAAGAACCAGGTCTGATACAGTACAGTGGGACAGCTTCTGCTTTACATGCAAAACCTTAAGCCCTGCCACCTCCAAGCAGGACTGGGCAAGACTGCCCTGAAAACCGCGAGAGTCATTGCCTGTCCATGTAGACTGGGGTTAGCCAACATGGTACCCCCTCTCATTTTTGTACTCATATTGAAATACTGCTCCTCGATGAGGCCAAACTTAGATTCACAAAATGTTTAGTGGTATGCATACCCCCCAGAAAAAAAGCACTATCAGGTCCCATCAGCTCCAACCAGCAAGAGATGTTGAGTCTTTGTCCAACATCATCTGGAGGGTGACACATTGGTTACCTCTGGTGTAAACAATACCAAGCTACATGGGCCAACTGTCTTGAGTTGGTATAAGGCACTTTCCTATTTACTGCCGAGACCAGGGTGCAAATCCTCACTCATCCATCCAGCTCACTGGGTGCCCTTAGGCCAGTCGCTCACTCTCTGCCTGACCTACCTCACAGGGTTGTTGTGAGGATAAAAATGGGCAGAAGGAGAGAACCACATACGCCACCTTGAACTTCTTGGAGGAAAGGTGGGATAGGTAAAGGTAAAGGGACCCCTGACCATTAGGTCCAGTCGTGACCGACTCTGGGGTTGCGGTGCTCATCTCGCTTTATTGGCCAAGGGAGCCGGTGTACAGCTTCCGGGTCATGTGGCCAGCATGACTAAGCCGCTTCTGGCGAACCAGAGCAGCGCACAGAAATCCCGTTTACGTTCCCGCCAAAGCGGTACCTATTTATCTACTTGCACTTTGACGTGCTTTCGAACTGCTAGGTTGGCAGGAGCAGGGACCGAGCAACAGGAGCTCACCCCGTCACAGGGATTCGAACCGCCGACCTTCTGATCGGCAAGCCCTAGGCTCTGCGCACAGCGCCACCCGTGTCAAAAGGTGGGATAGAACTGTAATAAATAAATTTGCCCGGAGGAGACAAAACCAACAGTGTCAGTGCACTTCTTCTGCTACTCAAATGATATGTAAATGCACCCATCTCTAAACAATTCTGATCAACCTTTAGGGTGCTACTCAGTCTTAAAGGGAGGTGCACCCTGGACTTGCTCCATAATTGTGTTCTCTGACCAACCTTCCCTCCGTCGGCATGATATTCTGTCTCATCGATGTCCAGCAGCCGAGCCAAACCAAAATCTGTGATCTTCACGTGGTTTGGGCTCTTCACCAGGACGTTCCGGGCTGCTAAGTCCCGGTGGACCAGACGGACATCCTCCAGGTAGTTCATACCCTGAGGGAGAATGAAGAAACACTGGTAACTATCCCCTTAAAGTGGAGCCAAGGGAACTGTTTCTAGAGCTCTTAAAAGCACATAGGTGCAATAACAGATGCCACGCACCCTCAGTCTCAACTGCAGAAGTGGAGAAAATAATTAACATTCATTTCTAATTTCTGTGGCATCAATACAAACTTGCTAAACTTGCTTGGAGAAGGGAAAGGGGGGTTCTTGCAGTGCTCTCCTACCCTCCGTGCCTGACTCAACTGGTTTATTCCTTTTCAGCAGCTTACAAAACAAAAAATATGCTTGAAAATACGAAGATGCTTTATACTAAACCAGGCAACCGTTCCCTGTAGCTCAGTACTATCCGAAAACAGCTTTCTAATGTCTCAGACAGAAGTTATACTCAGTCCTGCTGTCATTCCTCTAACTGGAGATATCAGAGGTTGAAGCAGGGGTCTTTCGCAAGCACAGCACACATTCAACTATTAAGTTATGTTGGATTATACACTTCACATCTCTACAAATGTCAGTGCTTTGGGAGTGGCAGTGGGGGTATGTGTGGATGGATTTGCAGGCAATAAGCCTAAATATAAGTGGTTTGCTAAAAGCTGGGATCAGGGCTAGGAACTTGCTGCAAATTTAAAACGCAAGAGAGAGACTAGATGCACATATTCTGTGTTTCCTCCCAAGTGCACTCGATTCAGCGAGGCACTTGTATTTGTGAAGGAGGAAGAATTTCAGCAAGTTACGTCGCCGAGTCTTCCATTTTAATACCACAGGGTGGTGGGACAAGTGTCACCTGCTGAAGTCCTCCCTTTGGGGTGGTTCATATAAGCACAGGGAAGCCTGTTCTGTAATGAGCCCGTCAACATCACCAGCCACGATCCCTCACAATGCAGCTCTCTTCAGTTACTACCTCCGTCGTGACCCTATTTTCTTCTTTGATTTTCAGTCTGCGATTCTACCACCCCCACCTTTAAAGAGGAGAAAGCTGGGGGAGGATAAAGCAAAGAAAACTGAACATGGGCAAAGAGAGGAGATGGGTCCTGAAAGGGGCAGAATACAACTGGCTATGCAAAGTCGCATGCCAGGCGGACAATCACCATGAAGCCCCGCCCCCTGCACTGAAGCTCCGCCTACCTTTGCTATCTGCACACACCAATTGAGGAGGTCCTGGGATCCAATGCGGTCCTTGTTCTCCCTCACGTAGTCCAGCAGGCAGCCGTAGGGCATGAGCTGAGTAACCAGCTGCACCGTGGAGGTGAGGCAGATTCCCAGCAGCCGCGATACGTAAGGGCTGCCCACCCCGGCCATGACATAAGCCTCCTGGGGAGGAAAGGTGGGTGTTAGAGGTCTCCTTTCAGAAGAGAAACAGTGATGGAGGATCAGGGAGAAGAACTCGCACAGGCCAGACTTCAAGGGGAGATTTCTATCCTTCTGGGGGTGAGGGAGCAGTGTGAGTTTGCTAACCCAGGTTAGAGGGAAGACATCCAGGAGGGGTTGTCCAATCCACTCCCACTAGACCCCAGGAATTGCTGAATTCAGCCACGGCAAACAAAACACGGGTGACAACAACAGGGAACCCCAATGCTGTGTAAGTTGCTTGTAACTTTGGCCAACAAAAAGTGTTTATAGACTGTTTTGAGTCTGTGGCATTCCCAGGATAATGAGGAGAATTGGTGGCGGGCACGTTGCACCCAGTAAGAGCAGAAAAGATCCGTGAGGAAGCACAGCAAATAGAGAAACCGCAACATATTTGGCTCGGCTTTGAGAAGACGCTGAGAGGAGATGTGCTTATGTGTCCTGCGTGACAATTAAGTCAACTGGAGGGATTTCGGTGACATTTTAACCCAGGGAAATCCTGAGCATATAGGAAGGGTGGAGTTATTTTATTAGAGGTCTATTTCTCAGCTCCAAACTGACATAAAGGTCTGGCTGCACTGCTTTAAAGAAGAGACCCACAATTTTTGCTTTCAAGCCTTATTCACCATCACCTTACTGCCCCACCCCTCCTACACCATTTTTGACAGTATCTCTCTATTGCAGGGTTGGCAAAGGTGGTCCCTCCAGGTGTTGTTTTGACTCCAGGTCCCATCATCCCTGACCCTTTGGCCATGCCGGCTGGGGCTGATGGGAGTTGCAGTCCAACAACATCTGGAGGACCACAAGTTCCCCATCCTTGTTCTGGACAATAAGCCCCATGGATTCCACACTGGCATCTGGCACACGGAGACAATATCAGGGGTAGTGTGTGATCTTCATACAGCAGGAGTGAAGAATCTGTGGCCCTCCAGATGCTTTTGAACTACAACTTTGGAAGGCGCTGCATATTCTCCTCCTGTTTCTCCTGGTTTTGCTTTGCTCTGCTGGGATTTTTTGAACCTGTTGACCCAATGCAGTGAACTGGTAGCTATCAATTTATCTTCAACTTGATGCTCATGTGCTATGCAGTTAGAACAGCAACTGCAGCTATGGCACTTAGGCTGCTTTTCGATTAGGTGGGCTGGAGGAAGTACCAAGAGGATGTTAGAGCAAGTGAGAAAGCGCCGTCCGTTTCCAGAAACTGTGAGAAGATTCTCAAAGATTCTCGGAAGCATTGAGGTGCAAGATTGCCTAGTCTACAGCAGCTATAAATAGCGGTGGAGCACTTATCTGTGGACATGTGTGATTCCTACAGAGGACAGACTGCTGAGCTGACTGCAGGCAGCATGTACAACTGAAGTGTGCCTTACTATCTGCAATGTAGTAAAGTTGCAAATAAGTCTTCTACCATGAAGATTGGTGTTGCCGTTCAAGTAAACAATGCTTGACTGAGCTTTACAGCTTCCATGTGTGTTTTATTGCCATTGGTCGCGCGCAACTTGATCCTTTCAACAAGGAGCTGTGCGACCGTCACTCTGCCTTGCAAGGGAGCTAGCATACATGCAAGGAAATGTTGCCGGGATACCCTCAAGATTTATGGTTGGAGGTGGTAAAATCTTCAGAGGAGGCAAGGTTTGGGCTGGTCATCATTATTAATGTGTGTGTGTCTGTGTGTGTGTACACACAGGCACACACACATACACTGTTTCATTCTTATTCAAATTGCTGTTATCGTTTTATTCCCGTTGCACCACCTCGGCTGTTTTCGTTCTTTTACTCATAGTGCCTTGCCTCGCTGAGCTGCTTGGATGGATTTCCCCCCACTTTCTTGTGCCATTATTTAGGTTTACAGTACAAGTGGTGCATCAGGAAACAGTGTAATTATTCTCAGTTTAAAATCTTGAGCCTCAGGGTGCTTGTCCCTGGTTCAGCTTTAGCCACTGGGCTGCAAATCCAAACCCGGATTAAGAGGGGTCACTGCGCCTTCCTCACTCACATCCAAAATCTCCTTGTTGGCTTTGGGCGAGGTGTTTTCCCGCAAGACTTTGATGGCGACCGGGATCTTCACACTCTCGCCATCTGGAATCCAAATTCCCTGCGTGGATGGTTAAGAGAAAGAGAGCAAGATGAATAAATGCATCGGGTTTTGTTTTTTAAGATGATGATGATGATTACAGGAATATGGGAAGGAGACTAGACACTTCAAAAACACTGCGCTAAAACTCCCAAGTGAAAGATGTGGCCTATTGTGGCAACGCAGAGTGCCATGCCTCTCTTTACGTGGGACTTCGTGGTGTGCCAGAGGTATTCGCGCACAGCAGCAGCCCAGACAGAACTCTTAAGTGAAACTGCAGTGGCCCTGCTAGCTGACAAAGGAATCACATTTCCTCCCCGGTACCAACTTAATGGCTGCTGGGAAGATGCGATCACCACCTGGAACGGGAACATTTCGTTGAAAAGAGACACTTGGATCCTGAGTGAAGGAGGAACAGGATTCAAGGCTTGGTAGTTCAAAGCGAGTCTCTGAAAAGGTTTCCAAAGGTCCTCAAGCTATTGGGTTCCCAGCCAAGGGCTTTCCCGCGCCATCTGCCCACACAACAAATCTAATCCGGCGCTCCTCACCTTGTACACTGTTCCAAAAGCGCCTGACCCCAACACCTTGACTTTTTTCAGTTCCGTCTCCTTGAGAATACGCATCTGTGCCTGGTTCGGCAGGGCTCCGCTGGGTGTCAATGGCTCCACCAACTAACAGCGTCAAAGCAAGTGAGGAGGGGTGCAGAGAGAGGGGGATCAGTAGGGGATGAACTAGAGGAGCTTTGAGGTCCCTTCCAACTCTATGGTTCCACTGCCCCCTAGTCAGTCTCACGTACAAGCATGTAATAAAATTATTTGGAGGGACACTGAGAAGAATGAGAACAAAACAGCGCTGGGGACTTCCTGTGAAGATTATTCTCGCTGCAAGAAGCCAAGTTACAGGGAACCAGGCAGAGGGCCTTCTCGGTAGTGGCACCCTCCCTGTGGAACGCCCTCCCACCAGATGTCAAAGAGATAAACAACTACCAGACTTTTAGAAGACATCTGAAGGCAGCCCTGTTTAGGGAAGCTTTTAATGTTTAATAGATTATTGTATTTTAATATTTTAATATTCTGTTGGAACCCGCCGAGAGTGGCTGGGGAAACCCAGCCAGATGGGCGGGGTATAAATAATACATTATTATTATTATTATTATTATTATTATTATTATTATTATTATTATCATTATTCAGCGGGGAGTTCCCTTTCAGACTATTTATACATTTAGGTCTTTTTATACATGCATAACAGGGAAGCAGTTGTATTATCTGGCTTTCTGTCTGCAGAAGTTCAGAAGCAGAGCATGAAGATGAAGGCCTTCTCCTGAAACGTCTGGCAACATTTCATATTCAGAGATCTACTGCCCCTATACATGGAGGTTCCATTGAGCATGGAACGTACAGGGAGGCAATTCCCCACATGGGGAAATAAAGCAGCGCTTCCAAAAAGGCTGCTAAAATTCAGAAGTGCCATGCCAAATCTCCCATGAGCTCTGCTGCAGGCTCTCCTCACAACCCCACCTCGGGGGGAAAGAGGTTGCGGCCGCCAAACCCTACCTCTGTCTCTTGCAGGAGACGCCGCAGAGTGTGCTTCCGCTCTTGCTGCTTCCGACGCTTGATGCAAATGATGATGATGGACAAGAGAACCAGGACGAGCGCAGCACCCACCACCCCAGCTGTAATGGACGTGGCCTGGCTGGAAGAGGACAGAGAGAAAAGGGAGGGAGCCTGAAGCAGGGTAGCCAACTTCGCCTGCAACTTTCAGGGGATGCGAACGGGTAGGCAGGCAGAGAAGCTGTGCCAGGCAGGGCTTAACCAAGCAGAGAAAGTGAGGAGGATGAGTTGCCAAGAGAGGAACTTTTTAGGGAGTTTCAAGTGCCAATTAGAGACCTGCCCAATTCCTCAGGCCTTTGAGTGAACTGTGGGATACTCAAGGAAAGTCAGCTGTCTCTCCTGATGTTATGGCGAATTTTCATCCCTCATGGTTTTTATTTATATTTCAACAACAATGGATTCTCCGTATGCCGCAGCCACAATAACCCGATTCTGGTGGGAACTAGCCGGAGCGGCTATTTTTTCACAGGCACACGAAGGTGTGGGAATCAGCCCTACCAGAGAAACTGAAATATAAACTGAGAGCCTCTAGAGGTCAAAAAAGTAAGGACAAATCTCTTCCTGTTTGGTGTGATCTTATTGTTTATGTTAACAATGCATAAGATAAGCAATCTCCTCCTTCCACTAGCCCCCCATGGCCTATAAACGGCTGTGAATGATAGAGAAATACAGGTAGAGCTCCACAAACTAAAGTTTGCTGGAACTGCAGCTCAGCCCCCGGGAAAACAAGGGCTATCCATGGTACTGGTGTTTTTACTTTTTACAGACTAGTTAATAATTCTTATTATACCAAAAGTATGGAATGTATTGGTGATGTCTATAGCCCCCCTCTTTGCCTTGGCTTAGACATTTCATGCCTGTTTTCTGTGATGAATTTTGTTTTGTGCTTGGTTTGGCATTTTAATAACTAAAACAAATAAAGCAAAAACACCCACCGACTGATATACTGCTTAATAATCATAGTTTCAAAACACAGTGGTCCCTGCTGCTTTTTCTGTTGCATAAGGTTCTAATGTACTGTGATTGTAACCTACTCTGAGATTCTTTTAATAATGAGGAGCTAGAATTTGTTTTTTAATAATGCGTTCAAAGGATTTATCTCCTAGATCTTTTAGAGCTGATGTATGTTAGTGATAAAGAGCACAGGCTGTGAGCACAAACACTGTGGTTCATGTCTCAGATCAGCCAGGAATTCACCAGACGGACTGAAAATTATTTCACTTTTATGAAATTATCACTGCATTTTGTTTCCCTCTGACCTCACTCTTCTCCCCCACGCAACCATGTATATTTGTCTGCCAATCTGAGACTTCACGCATCTGATGAAGTGGATTCTGGCCCTCAAAAGCAAATGGCATAATAAACGTGTCAGTCTTTAGGGTGCCACAAGTTCATTGGTTTTTACTGAATAATCTCTATCTCTCCAGCGAATCTTTCCAAATTTCTGGCCGTTTACTTTTTCTGTAGCACATTCAGCTCATCAGAGTACACTGCAGGATTATTTGTGCTCTCAAGGGGACAGAAAAACATCCTTTCAAAAACAACCTTTTTTTGTAATTGAAAGCTGAGGTTTCTCAGAATATTGAATTCCCTGATCTCACATATTCATGGCTCTTAGCATGGCCTTTGTACTTAGATTGTGCCCAGAAATCTTCCATGTTCAGTAACTTCAGTAACACACAGGTATCTGAAGAAGTGTTCATGCACACGAAAACTTATACCAAGAACAAACTTAGTTGGTCTCTAAGGTGCTACTGGACAATTTTTTATTATTTTTTCATATATTTCAGAAACACAATACACTTTATACTTTGTATAGGCTTACATAACATCTTGACTTCCAACGGAAGACACATGGGATATAAATGAAAATGAGCCGAAATCTAATACCTAGGTTTCTGATCCACGGGGCAGCCGCGTTCATCCCGTATTGTACACCTGGAAAAGGAAACACCAAGTTGTATCACACAACCATTTAAGAAATACCACTTCACTTGTTAAGGAGAAACAATGGGTGCCAGAACAGAATACAGCTCGCTACTTGCAAACATTTAGGCAATTTTAATTGCTTTTTCACTTTTGCATTTTTTTAACTGATTGAAACAACCGATAAATACAAAGTGTGGAGAACTAAAAGCAATCTGATTAAAAACTGTAACAGGCATAATAATGTTCAGTAGAGAAGAATGAAGGAGACGGGCAGCTGAATAAAAGTTTGTTGTATGCGACAACAGCCGCACGGATGCTACTAGCCCATAGATGGAAATAACCCTGACCAGAGAAGAATGGCAAACCAAGTTGATGGACTATGCTAAAATGGCAAAATTAACTGGGAAGCTTAGAAATCAAGAGGGCAAGAACTTTAAAAAAGAATGGGGAAAGTTTACAATCTATTTACAAGAACATTGTAAGAAGGTTAAAACATTAACAGGATTTCAACCACACTTGTAAACTAATGGAAAGTATGGTTATTTTGGAAGGATAAAACTTGGGACAGTATTGATATTCAGTTGTAAATATTATCATTAGGACCCATGGAAGGGATTGCGGGAGGGAGTCAGGAGATTCAGAATAATCCTGATCTTTGGATTTTGAAATGTTTTTTGTCGTATGTTTATGTTTTTTAAAAATCAAATAAAAATTATATATATAAAAAGAAGACAACTGAATAAAAGTTTGCACGGCTTCATGAGCTTTCGGGCACATGCAGTTAGCAGAAGCCGCGGAAGACATTTCTAGCGCTGACATTTAAAGGCGGCTCCCACCCCCCTTATTCTTTTTTAAACCTTTTAATTTTCGTTTGCTGACCTTGTTTCATCAAAGCCCGTATAGAGGCAGGTGGCGATGAGGACACCTTAGGCGGCAGATTTTTGGTGTCGCTCCAGGGCGGCCAAGTAAAAGGCTGACAGAAGTCAAAACGATTACGTGCTAAATTATACAGAAGGTGTGCTCTGCAGAGAGCAAACTGCTAACAGTCTTAGCATTTCTTCCTTCCCGCTTCCCATCACCCACTAGGCAAAGGTGCTGGTGCCTCTTTTCCAGCAGGACCTTCTCTGCACAATCCAGAATGCGGCAGCTAGACTGGTGACTGGGAGTGGCCGCAGAGACCACATAACACCGGTCCTGAAAGACCTACATTGGCTCCCAGGACATTTCCAAGCACAATTCAAAGTGTTGGTGCTGACCTTTAAAGCCCTAAATGGCCTCAGCCCAGTATACCTGAAGGAGCGTCTCTATCGACATTGTTCTGCCCAGACACTGAGGTCCAGCTCCAAGGCCCTTCTGGTGGTTCCCTCACTGCGAGAAGTGAAGCTACAGGGAACCAGGCAAAGGGCCTTCTCAGTAGTGGCACCCACCCTGTGGAACGCCCTCCCATCAGATGTCAATTAAATAAACAACTATCCGACTTTTAGAAGGCATCTGAAGGCAGCCCTGTTCAGGGAAGCTTTTAATATTTGATGAATTATTGTACTTCAATATTTTGTTGGAAGCCAACCAGAGTGGCTGGGGAAACCTAGTCAGAAGGGCAGGGTATAAATAAGTTGTTGTTGTATTATTATTATTATTATTATTATTAACCATGTTGGAAACTCACGAGTGGGTGCAGTTGGTCGGGCAGATCTGACACATGCCTTCCCCATCGGGATACTTCCAGATGGGTACAAACGAACCGTCCACCTTCACGCCGCTGGGACACTGCTCCACGCAGTAGGGGCCATCTTTGTAATGGGCACAAGCCACACACTGGTCTGCGTCCTAAGGAAGGAAGGAAGGACGAAAAAAAAAAAAGACTTTCTATCAGAAGAACAGAGGGAGGGGAACTCCTCCCTATCAGCTGTTCTGTGTGGATCAATATCATCCTTACAACGCAAGGCAACTCGTTGCCGACATGACCCGAGACTGACATTAAAGCCAGAAACTTTGATAGGAATCTATGGATTTGGAGTCGCTGGGTCTGGGGCTGTTGCAAAGTCGCCTCAGGTGAACTGTTCTGTTCTTGCACAGTTTATTACCTAACGAAGGGGAAAGTTGGGTAACTTGGATTTTGTAACATCGCAGGCGCATTGATTTCAATGGGCAAATTTAAGCACATGCTTAAGGCATGAGCCTCAAAGCTCTCAAGGAAGCTTCAAAGCTCTTCACTTTGGCTGGATCTCGCTCTGAAAAATCTAAAAGAAATGACTAGTTGTGACTTTATCTTCAATGTCTGAGGCGACAACCTCTGAATAAAGCTCGCCCAGCTTTTTATCTATGATGCACGAAGTCTTTGCCAACATGCCAGCTGATATTTGCTCTCTTGCATAATGACTATGTGGGCAGTCCTTAAAAGGAGGGATGGGCGATACTTCTATTTATTTTCTGAAACCAGTATGGCGTTTGCATCGTGACACCGGTTTCAGACTTTTTGAGCTGCTGATACATTGTGACTTCCCAGCCACCATGATTTATCGGCGGTTCATATTGATATATGCTGTGTTTATAAATTTATCTGTTTTAGTTATTTGCTACTCAGTTTTCTGGATCTTTGTTTCTTCCTATCATTTCTATTACAAGGTTCAACTCAAATTTTTACGTAATAGCATTTTGTTAACGCATTTATGGGTCACACAGCTATTAGGTTTTGTGTGTATAAAGACTGATGATTGAGTTTATTTAAGTTTTATTACCCTCGACTTTTCTCATTTTACGTTACAAAATAGAAACATCCATCAAAACATCAAGAAGGGAGAAAAACCCAGAAAAACCTGTGGTAATAGGACCATTAATTTTTTTCTGTAAAGCTGTGACATAATTTAGCTGGAAGGAATGCAAACAAGCACACCTTTCCTGTTAATAATTTATCTCTGGTATTTCATAGTCACCCGGTTTAAAAACAAGCCTGTTTGAAAACGAGCCTGAGGAATTCTCCCTTAATATTTGGATACAGGTGACGTGAGAAGAGAGAACAGGTGATACCTCCCCGCTGGCCTGCTTCACAGATCCAACTGCATGGATTCATAGCTTGTTTTAAAGGAAGGAGCCTGTAGCAAAGACATGGGAAGCCCATGGTCCTCCAGGCTCCGACCCCCAGCAGCCTCAGCCACCGTGGCCCATGGCTGGGAATTATGGGGTTTGTAGTCCAACAACTTTGGAAAAGACACCTTGCTATATTGAGCACTGGCTTTTCCACATTTTATTCCAGCATACATGGGAATTCCTCAGAAGCTTATTTTAAAGCATTTTTTGTTATGTTCTTTAGTAAAAAAAACAAAACACCCCAAAACCTTCCAGAGTAGCGTATTAGATCAGTAATTAGACAGTACCCACCTGCAAGTTCATAAACTAAAAGGCACGACACACAAGGAAAAATGAACGGGGAGGGAAGAGGGCAGAAGCCAATTTAGAAACCAGTTATTTATCATTACAGTGACTGGTTAATTTGTCCAAGTTTCCTCCATGAAAAGATACAAGCTTTCTAAAAATCGACAGCAAGACACCTTCTTTTACAACATGCAGCCATGGGGATCACTTGGCTTGGCACTATTTGAACACACGCTGCCACTTCCATGCTTCCAGATTCCTCTCACCTCTGCTTGAGCAGCAAACCGGGAATACAAACCAATTCATCCTACGGTTTGTGCAAATCGTATGTGAATGTAAATTGGAGGTGAGAGAAGAAACCAGGGCAGAAAAGAAAGGGGGGGCACAGGGTTTGTTTATGTAGCACCAAAGGGTGGTCTGAACTCACTTCTTGGGTGTGTTCAAGGTTATATTCAGGGACAGCTCCAGCTCTGAGGGGACCCTTAGCAAAGAGCTGTCTAATCCAATGTCAGAGGCCCTGGCAGGTTTGTTATATAGTGGGAGCAAGCAGCCAAAACTACTCAGATCAGCATGGGGAGACTGGGTCCGCAGGCTACCATTTTAATTTCCGACAATACCACAGCACTGCTCTGGGGCATTGTGGGAAATGTAAATGGTGGCTCCCAGCCCTGATCAGTGCCAGAGGAGGAAAAATTAAATGGAAGGCCAGGGCAGACCTGCCAGGACAGCAGATGCTAGTTCTGGTCATTCTTTCTGTGCACAAAGGGTGACAAGGAACATGAGCAGTGAGTGAGTGTGTGTGTGTGTGTGTGTGTGTGTGTGTGTGTGTGTGTCTTGGAACAGATACTCAAAGATACTTTATGGATAGACAACTTGATGTGAAAAGGCGAGGAAGTCAGAATAAAGCGAGGGCCTCAGCAGCCTTCAGTCCCTGCTCTTACCGATCCATTGCAGGACTCTGTCCCGTTTTGGGGCAAACACTCGGAATGGCATGGAAGGCACCGCGTCCCGTTGACGTATTCCCGGAACTCTCTGTAGGAGAAGGAATTGCAAAGTCAGGTCAATCCAAAATTTAGGCAGCTTCCAGTTTTTCTCCTCCCGGCTTTCCTTAACTTCCTGGAATGTCGTGGATTGGCAATCCATCATCTGCCAGTGCACTTCTCATCACAGTAACTTCTACTAGGGCTGCATTTTAATTGTTCTATAAAATTTGGTGGTGGCAGATGGATGTTTCAAATAAGAAGAAAAACAAGGAGGTGATATGTATGCTATTTTCACACCTCTTCCATGTACCCTGAAAGGACAGAATTTAGTCAACAACACAGAAGCCAACACTAAGAAAATGTAGCTTTTTATATATATAAACATAGCAAGTGTCTCTAGACCTTAATGTGGCTAAACAATGTATTTTCTACATAGCACTCCCAGAGCCATTAAGTTGCTCCTAATCTGAATTCTGGACAGACAGGGCTCCTGGTCTGCTTTCCTCATGATCACATACCCATCCAGAAGGCTGCAGTTTTTAACACATTCGTTCCCACGCAGAAACCCGATGCAGGACATGCACTGAGTCCCCCCAGGTCCCCAGCAGTGCCCCTTGGAGCAGAGGGGGGAGCAACTCTGGTCTTCGTGTACTGTGGAGAAGAAGACATAGGAATGTATGTATTTGTTACCTGTTCTTTTGCTACCATCAAAAGGAATGGAGGAAGATATCAATGACAAGTCATTTTGTTCGACTCTTGCTGGCCTCACTGTGAGCTGCCCAAGCTAACATTGCACTGAGTAACCCTGAATTCTTATGCATTTGCTCACAAAGAGCTCACATACGGAGTCCCTAAATTCTCCTATCTGCACAGGATTTTTCATAAGCCTGGCAAAGGGGCTTACTTCCCTCCCACCCCACCCCCAAACACCATATTGTTAAAAAGTGGCTCCCAGATGGGAAGATTTTGGGGAGGGGGTCCAATAGTAGTAGTAGTAGTAGTAGTAGTAGTAGTAATAATAATAATAATAATAATAATAATAATAATATATTTATAACTCGCCCCCAGCCACTCTGGGTGGCTTCCAACAAAATATTAAAAGTACAATGAAACATCAAACATGAAAAACTTCCTTAAACAGGGCTGCCTTCAGATGTCTTCTAAAAGTCTGATAGCTGTTTATTTCCTTGATATCTGAAGGGAGGGCATTCCACAGGATGGGTCCTCTACCTGGTTCCCTGTAACCATAGGAGTAGGTGCCACACACTTACTACACTCGGGGTTGTTGTCATTCTGGAACAAGGTCTGCCGAGGGTTCTTGAAGATGGCTTCCCAAGGAACGTTCTGGATGAAGCAAAGGTTGGGGTTGTGGTGAATCAGAACCATTCCACTGCTGATCTCTTGCAGCGAACGCAGGCCGAAGGAGGAGATGTTGAGGTTTTGCAATGTTAGAGAATAGACTCCGCTGCCAAAAGAAAAGAAAAAACAGGCTCCCCAATCAGGAAGAAGAGAAGAAGCCCCCAAAGAGCCATCTTATTTGTCTATCCCTGCCGTGCTGAAGTAGATATTGACTAGTCCAGCGAGGGACTCATTTAACAACCTGCCTTGTTTTGTTGCATTTCAAGTAATATAATTTCAGGAACTTCAGTTAGTATGAAGGGTGTAGGTTTTAAAATAAGTAAGATATTCAGGCATCTTTTTGCTGTACCTGAGGATATTACTTCCAACTTCTTTCTTTTCGTGTAAGGAAGAAAAGATGGCTGGCGCAGGACAGAAACCGTGGCAGGATGAAGTGCTTTAGTGAGGGATTACAAAGCAGAGGGTTCTCTCTGCTCTACCTACCACATGGCTGGTGTGTGAGGGGAAAGGAGAGGGAGAGGAAGTTACATTGTGTAGGCCCAAAGTTTTTGCGGTTTATTTGGATACCCTCCGACCTTTTGTCAGAAGGTGAGAGACTTGCTGAGTGCTTCTGTGGGATCAGCCTCCATCTCTGGAGGGGTTTCCCTTCAGCAGGAAATGCCAGTTCAGAAATCCCCTTAGGAGAGACAATGGGAAACCCAGGTTTCCTTTGAGCTTGCTTGACCAAGTGACAGAAGTTCCACACTGCCTTGTGCATGTTAACAGTGAATACTTGGAATATGGTGGCAAGGTGACAACCAGCAGGAAGCCTTTGACAAAGTCAAGACAACAGACACACACAACTACCAACATTCACTGGACTCGATAACTGGTAAAAAGAGGGACGGGATATATCCTGTTAGATCTGGAGAGCCACAAAATCCATTGGGGTTTGACAGCATTTATGCAAGTAAATAGAGACAGCTCGCTTACAGCCATCTAGTGAGTTAGTAGCAGAGGCAAGCTCAGATTCTGGAATCCTTGATTTATAGTTCAGTCTTTTAGCTGTTGCAATCTAAGCTATTTGTGCCCCAATCCTGGGAGGGTGCTTACTTGTAAAGGGCTCGTCCCCGGATCACTTGAAGGTTCTGGAAAGGGTTTAAATCCACAAGAGACTCCGGCCAGGATTCAATATAGAGGAAGCCTATGCAAAAACACAAAGTTTGGACCAATCAGCGGAGGATGAGGGCACCTGATTCATTTATCACTTGTATATCCAACTTTTCCTCCAAGGAGCTCAAGGTGGCATACATGGTTTTCTTCCTCCCCATTTTATCCTTGCAACAACCTTGCGAGGTAGGTCAGACTGAGAGACTGTGACTGGGCCCAGTGTCACCCAGTGAGCTTCGTGGCTGAGTAGGGATTTGAACCCTGGTCTCCCAGGTCCTAGTCTGGCACTCTAACCACTGAACCACACTGGCTCCCTTAATTATGCTACTCTGTAACAATGAAGAACCCCTTTGCCTGGGACTTGGAGGCAGGCTGGAGGGGGCCGAGGCTACCTAGAAATAACATTCTTACGTACCTGTTAGATCCTTCAGGTTCTCAAAGACTTTAAGCTGCTTGGGATCAAGGGGCGGAGTATCAGAGGCAGGATCCCTGGACAGAAAGGAAGGAAACTGCATTGGTGGGAAATGAAATAAACAGACACACTTCGCTTCCTCTTGCTATTATTACTGCACTCTTTGTAACTTGAGTGATGGCTACTTTAATTTTGGTTCTACACAGTTGATGAAAATGTGGCCAAAATATTTTACGCACCACATGCTATTCTGAGTGGAATCACCTCAGCATTTCTCACAAGGAAATTCTGCTGTGGACAAAAGCCAGCCCTGGTGCTTCCTTTTTTAAAAAAATTATATTTATTTGATTTTAGCAATATAAAATTATAACAATACAACCATACAGATCCACATTTACAGATTCCTCCAAATCTCTGGACTTCCCACCGTCTCTCCATGGGTTCTACTATCAAACCTTTTCTACAGCATCTTTTCCAATATTCTATATTTAATACAACTCCATTGTCTCCCTAGTACTTGCTACCTTACGAGTGTTACTGCAATCCTGCTAATGCTTTCATCTGTTTACAGTGGTCTCCAAGATAAATTATATTTTTTTTCCATTCTCTGTTAAGGTTTTGGTCTTCTTGGTTCCTGAGCTTTCCAGTCAGTTCTGCCATTTCAGCATACTCCAACAGTTAAATTTGCCATTTTTCTCCAGTAGGGACTTTATCTTCTTTCCATCTCCAGCCCTGGTGCTCCCGAGACTACTTGTTCCCAATACCAGAAGGCTTTCACACCTCGTGGTTTGATTTCCATGGCCACCATTTTTCTTATATACCCCAGAGCCTAAATCGTTCCAACTTCCTCCACTTCTTTCCCTTTTTTATAAACACTCCCATAGCCCTTCCAAAGCTAAAACCTCACATGGCACAATTACAAGGATGTCTTGAGCAAACTGATGCTACACCCTTCACACCTAAAGCTCACCGTTACTCACCCTGCAAAAGTCTCTGGCAGAAAGGCTAAGCTGCCGAAGATCTTGGTGCAGCCGGCAAAGTGGTGGATGTTGGAGGCATTGATGGCACGGACCCCTTTCAGGAAATCCATCCCCAAACCGTAGCAGACTGAGAGGTGGGGGGCGGGGAGTGGGGGGGGGAGGGAAGAGAATGTGTATATGAGTCTGCAAACATCATCACAACCATGATGCAGAGCAGACAATGGGAACAACACAGAACCTTTGGGCTAAAGGGCCGAAAGAAAAGGCTAACTCAGACATAGGCAAACTCCGGCCCTACAGATGTTTGGGACTACAATTCCCATCATCCCTAGCTAACAGGGACAAGTGGTCAGGGATGATGGGAACTGTAGTCCCAAACATCTGGAGGGCCGGAGTTTGCCTATGCCTGGGCTAACCCAAGTCCTTCTTGGTGTTGAATGCACCAGTTGCAACCCCTAGTGGCCAAGGAAGAGCCATGAGCCCAAAAACCAGGGTGACTCGCCTGCTGAATACCTACAAATGCAATTCCTGAAACCGCTGCAAAGCTGGTGAGCAAAGCCAAGGCAGTCAAGGATAGGGTCAGAATACTCAGGAGGTAGAATAAGTTAAAACTAAAACTCTGAAGAGAGCACAAATCGGTTTAAAACGTTTGCAACTGTTTGCATAAACAAGCCTTTTGCCTTCCTGGTTTTGGACTGGCTAGGGATGATGAGAGTGGCAGTCCAAGACATCTGGAGGACACTGAAGTGGGGAAAGCTGCCATAAGCCCTTTTCTACAACATTGGCCATTTCTATGGGTAACAGGAATGAGAGACAGGAAACAAAGTAGTATAGAATCCCGTACTTGCGTCCCCATATATATCCCTCCCCCTCGTGCCAAATATCTCCATGTGACAAAGGAGGGCATACCCTACAAGTGTTGCTGGTACCCCAGGTTCTCAGAAGGACATGCATGGTGGGCGTACACAATGTGATGCCAAGACTGATGCATCATGGGAAAAGTCAGAGTCTTCCTGGAAACAGTGTTTCTCCCTCCACTGGCCCAACTCCCAGCTCTTACCTTTGGGACACGGCTTGTTGCACTTCTCGCACTTTTGCACGGTGCCCACGCTCACCTCCTGACTGGTCTGAGGGCACACCAAAGTACAGGACCCAACCTCTGCAGCCAAGTAGTTATCTGTAATTCAAAACAACAGGAAGTGAATGACAGCCTGGAATCAGCATTTATTTCTTTAATTATAAAAAACCACTGCATAAGGATGGTGCTGCAACAAGGCAGATTATAGCAATACGTACACCATCCTCCGTTCACTTATACGCTGTTTTCCCATGGGAAAGCATGCTCAAAGCAGCTTGCAACAACAGCAAAAGAGCTCCCACTGCCAATATGTTTCTCATGTACCGCAACAGCCTGACCGTTAAATCTTCACCGGTATTCCATGGCCATCAGGTTACACCATATCACATGGGTAGGCAAACCAAGGCCTGGGGGCCGGATCTGGCCCAATCACCTTCTCAATCCGGCCCGCGGACAGTCCAGGAATCAGCATGTTTTTACATGCGTAGAATGTGTCCTTTTTATTTAAAATGCATCTCTGGGTTATATGTGGGGCCTGCCTGGTGTTTTTACATGAGTAGAACGTGTGTTTTTATTTGAAATGCATCTCTGGGTTATTTGTGGGACATAGGAATTCCTTCTTTTTTCAAAATATAGTCCGGCCCCCAACAAGGTCTGAGGGACAGTGGACTGGCCCCCTGCTGAAAAATTTTGCTGACCCCTGTCATATCACATTCTCATTCTGGTCCATCTCCCTCCACACAAGTTCTTAAAAAGAAGTTCGGGAAGCCATTTTGCTTCATATAATTGGGAGAAAATAACACCTCCATTGCAAGGCTCCTTCAGAAAGGAGTTGCTGCCAAGAGCATTTTTGTGCAAGTGTCTTTTGATGCATTGAATAGAATGAAAGTTATGAGTCATAGCGGAGGGGACAGCATGTGTACAAATTCAACAGGGCTTTTTTTTGTTTTGTTGCTACAGTGGTACCTCAGGTTAAGCACTTAATTCGTTCCAGAGGTTCCGTTCTTAACCTGAAACTGTTCTTAACCTGAAGCACCACTTGAACCTGAAGCTAATGGGGCCTCCTGCTGCCACCAGAGCATGATTTCTGTTCTCATCCTGAAGCAAAGTTCTTAACCTGAAGCACTATTTCTGGGTTAGCGGAGTCTGTAACCTGAAGCGTATGTAACCTGAGGTACCACTGTATTTTGTTAACGTTTTGATATTGTTTTATAGATATGAATGCTATCATACTTTGTGAATCCTATAATATGATTTTTTTGGGGTGTAACTGTGATGTTCAGCTTATTTTTTAGTTGTTTTGTTAATAGTGTTACATAGATGGTAACTGTTTTATTTGCAATTTGTGATTGTTTTAAGTATTCTATACAATTCATGCTGCATTTGCGATGTTCCATTATGTTATTTTTATCTTTTGTTTGTAAGCCACTTTGGGATTTATTTGAATAAAAAGAGGCAAAGAAATAGATTTTTTTTAAAAAAAACACATTTGGGGGGCATTTTTCTTTATAGAGAAAGGGGGGAAAACAAAGGCCAAGTTCTCACTGAGGTGGTAAACTAGTATCAGGATTATACCACTGCTGAATGCAGACAGTTGTTCAAATGACTGAAAGCACCACCATTTTATATATGCGTCGGTGTGTCTACTGCTATTTTCTGTGCTGTTTTCAACCACTTTTAGGAGGTGTCTGTATGTTGCCTTTTTCATGTTATGTGTGTGGGGGGAAATTAAAAAACTAGCAACTGGCATACATGAAAGGAATATTCTGTGTGCTGGAGTACTCAGTCATGTGCCTTTGGCTCCCAGGGAGAAGGGATTTGAGGCAAAACACAGGCTCGTCTCCATAGCTAAGGACTAAACAGAAGATAGCAACTATCCCAGGGCATTTTCAGTTCCAAAAATCCTGCACACATACCGCAACCCCAATAACATATACATGCACAAAACAAAAGGGATAATAATAAGAGCCTTACAAGGGCATTCAGCAACACAAGTTGCTCCAAAAGTGTACCGTCCATTTGGATTGGCAGGTGCTCGTAAGTGTCTGGATTGTAGTTGAAGAGAAGCGGCAATGCAGTTCGCAAATCCCGCTGTGGTTGAAGTGCAGGCAGGCCTGGGAGAAACGGAAAGGTGGCAAGTCCTATTTTTCTGTTTTTAAAGGCACGTACACTTTGAGAACTTTGACATAGGAAGGACCCCACTGAACACTCAGGGGCCACCCTAGAAAGTGAGTCGCTTGGATCAGAAGCAACCAAGTTTCCGCGGCCCCACAAAGGCTAACGAAAATTCTTTGTGGCAATGAACTTCCGAAGCCGTTCTTTTCATGGTCCAAGCCTGTAGAACCAGCCTTGCACCCACATCCAAATGGGGACAAATTCTGGGGCAGCACTACAGGGTTTCATTTCTTTTTAGGGGGGAGGGGAGCGCTGCAGCTTTATGGCGTATTTGTTTTATTTACAATGCACAATATACACAGTATAAATGGAAGTACAGTCGTACCTTGGTAGTCGAACGCCTTAGTTGTCGAACAAAGTGGCTCCTGAACGTCGCAAGCCCAGAAGTGAGTGTTCCGGTTTGCAAATGTTTTTTGGAAGCCGAACGTCTGACGCGGCTTTCCACGGCTTCTGATTGGGTACAGGAATCTCCTGCAGCCAATCGGAAGCCGTGCCTTGGTTTTCAAACTGTTTCGGGAGTCGAATAGACTCCCAGAATGGATTAAATTCAAGAACCAAGGTACGACTGTAAAACGGGCACTCTTGCTACAGGCAGTGATGCTCAGTGAGCAGTCCTCACCTGAAGGCTGTATCCCCTGTATACCAGCCAGAAATTATTTCCTCAGCTCATAGAAACCTGTCTCTGCCTCTCTCTGCCTCTTTGTTGATTTAAACTCCAGAATCAATCTCTCTCTTACTTACACTTACACTTACACTTACACTTACACACACACGACAAGTAGTTGTTTCAGACTCCTCCCCTGCAGATGAACTGCCCATTCAAAAACAAACAATCATTTAACCATTCACTTCCTTCATCCAGCTGGCTAACACCCCACCTTTGTCAGGTAAGAGGCTAATAATAATAATAATAATAATTGATGATGATGATGATGATGATGTACCCCACCCATCTGACTGGGTTGCCCTAGTCACTCTGAGCGGCTTCCAGCAGGAGAACATAATACAAATTAAACATTAAAAACTTCCTTATGCAGGGCTGCCTTCAGATGTCTTCTAAAGCCAGTCAACTCCAGATCCCAACAGCTCTGCTCACGATCACCAGATTCAGCAGGAATCTGCTCCTTGCCTTTTGGGTTCCGCCAGGGCTCCACCCCTGTTTTGCTCTTGCTCAGGCTCCAATACAGGTTGGGTGTGTGAGAGAGGTAAATGTTTGTGTTTTTTCTGGCAATCAGAAAACTTGACAGCGCGTTTGATAAATGAGAAACGAGAACCCCAGGGCGCGCACACACTCACCAGGCAGTCGGAGTGTTTGGGTCCCGTGCAGCCGGCTGCACACTGCTCGTGGCAACAGTCCGTTGGGTGTCTCCCCTTACACCTTGCACAGCTGCTGGCGCAGACTGTGCTTGTCACTGGCGGGGGCGGGGGGGGGGACAAAGAGAAAAACAGAAAAGTCATAGGCACAGAAGCTCCTTCATCAAACACAAGAGGGATCTCGTAGCCTCTGAACTGACAGCTTGCAAAAAGGGAGGTGTCAGCAGCAGCAGCTGCTGTTTGGGCTGCGACATAAATGCCAGGTGACAGCGGGGTGAGAGGAAAAGAAGGCATGCCACAGCTACACTAGGGGACAACCCAGGTCGTTGCAACAGGGAGAAAGAAAGGCCTTTGAGAGAACAGGAGAAGCGGGGATGCCAGGGAGTTTTGTGGGACAGGGGAGAGCTAAGCGGAAGTCTAATTCCCTGAGCAAATAACAGAGAACCTCTAAAGGCTTTGCTTTAGAGACATGCTCAGATGTACTCTTCTCAGATGTACTCTTCCCACCTCCTTCCCCAAACTGGAAAAGTGCTAACTAGGCTTTGGAAGAAGTCGTGAGGGAATCCAGGACTCTGTCAGAACCCTCACACTTCCTTCCAAAAGCCCAGCGTCTCCCTTTCCCAGCTTTGGAATGGTGGCGTGAGGGCTGGGAGGCATCAAATGTTGCCAAGGGCCGCCAAAGAGGCCTCGAGGGCCGCACGGCCCACCCTGTTCTACGTCAAGGATGGAGAATCCCATAGGCAGGGGCCATATGCGACCCATCAGGCCCCTCTGTCTGGCCCTTGGGACTCTCCCCAGGCCACAGCCCTGCTTTGCTTAACTGTTCCTGTCTGCCTGAAATGCATATCTGAATTCTGACGTGCCTCTTGATCATCTGGATGGGTGGAAAGAGGGGTGTGCACAAATGTGCAGAAATGAGCCTACAATACAATTCACACTTGTTGCTCCTCCCACTTTTAGCGTCAGCCCTGCTCACCACTGGCATGTGGCCCCCGAATGATTGCATGGAAGGGAATGTGGCGCTCAGGCTGGGGGAGACAAAATGGCGACCCATCCCCCATTCTACACACAAATTACGCACTCCAAAGCTGTTAAGAGACACTGTGTAAAACCTGCACGTTTTGGTATAGCCCAGATCCCAAGAAGCCTGATACTCACATGTTTGACAGCTCCCTTTTCCTTCTCCCCAGCAGTGGCCATTGAGGCATATTCTTTGGCAGTCGGGGCCTGAGGAGTGGGGAAAACAGACACTTTCTTAAAAGCAAGGTGTTCCTCACCAAATATTCCTGCATTCTATTTGTTACAGTCACTTTTCTCACAGAGCAAATCAAAGCACCTTAGGTCCAAACCAATTAAGAACCTCCAATAAGAATCTAAAACACAGATAAAAGGTATGATCCTACCCAACTAAAACGGGCCGCAATGCCACCATTCAGATTACAAGCCAAGAACACAGGTAAAGAGATAAACCTTTGCCTAAAAATAGATCAAGATAACACCGGGTGAAAGCATTTCACAAGCAGGGGGCCACCACTGAAAAGGCCCAATCTCACGTTGCCACCCTCCGAGTCTCCCATGGAAGCAGCACACAAAGAGGGGCTGAGGTGATGATTGCAGGGTCCGGGTTGGTTCATGTGGGGTGAGACAGTCCTTGAGGCACTGGGGCCCCGAGCCGCATAATTGCCTTATAGGACAAAACTGAGCTTGCGAACTAATGGGTGGCCAGTGTTGTCATGCCAGAACTGGCGTTATATGTTCAGACTGCCCTGCCTCGGTTGACAATCTGGCTGCTGAATTCTGCACCAGCGAACTCCGAATCACCTTCAAAGGCAGCCCCATGTATGGTGTGTTGCAGTGGTCCGATTTAGAGGTTAGAATAGGCAGTGACATGACAATCAAAGGAGTAGAAGCAGACTTCAAAGGCCTCTGGCATGCGCCAACGAAGGAAGAATAAGCAGCGAGGAATATGTGTTTGGCATGGTTTTGTGGGAGAGCAAAATGCAGCAGCGGATGCAAAAATTCAGTTTCCTTTTTTGTTTTTTAAACGGTATTTTCTAGCTCAGCCAACCCCACGAACTGTAGAAGCAGGAGCAAACAGTAATCTAGTGAAGAGAAAGAACTGAGGATCTCAGCCTTTGTTTGTTTTTAAGTTTCCAGCCCCAGTGAAAGAAAAAATGACTGTATAAAGAGCATGGACACTGCCTGCTAAAACCTTAGAAGCTGGAAGGTAAGAATTTGACTCTCAAGGGTTCAGTTCTGCTGACTGAAATCTAACCCTGCAAATATATTTCATACCCTTTCCATGGCTTGCAAGTATCAAGAAAGTAGGGTATGAGAAGCATATTTGCATAACCTATACAGCTTGCAGACCTCAGCTTGTCTTGTGGGCAGAATTTGATTTGTCTTTAGCAGAGAGTACACATGACTCTGGTTTTTAAAAAAATTCACCTAGAATGTAACAGGATAAGAAACAAGCTGAGATACGAAGGGTAATAATGTGTTCCTGGCAACTTAAATTCAAAAAATTGGGGATTTTATTCCGGTGCGGAATTCTAGAACCCCAACACAGCCCAGGAGCCAAACAAGATTCGCTTACAGATCCGACGGCGGCGGCTGCTGATCTCCGTGTAGTTCTGCTGGTTGTGTTTGTGGAAAATGGCCCCCCAGTGGATTGTCTCCTGGAAGCACAGCTGGGGGTTTTCGTCTACAATCACACCACCCTTCAAGATCTCTGAAAAGAAATCGGGGGAGAGAAAGGGACAGTAAAGAGCAATGTATAAAAGACTTGTTTTAATTTGCTTTGTTTTCTTTGTTTTTATTATTTCTATGGCTTAGATTGCGGCCTACTTCCAAGTCCAGGAGGGCTTTGGCAAATGCTGAAATAAGCAAAACGTGGAACATTTCTATGGCACCCTGGGAGTGTCTGGAGGATGTTCACTTGCATTTTTTCATTGTAATGCTTACAAAAGCCCCATATCTCATATTACTGAGCAGGGAAGAGGGGAGGTGCAGCAGATTCAAATGGGGACACGACTGAATTTGTAGCTCAGTTGAGTAGGCAGATCGGGTTCTTTCAGGTCCCCGTCGCCTTTTCATGCTCCTCCTTCCGTACCTGTCAGATCCAACATTCCCAGCTCCTGCAGCCCCACATCCCCGCTGGGGTCGTGTTGTTAAGGACAGCCAGGGCATACTTTTCCTCGTACAGCTGGGTCCCACGGATGATCAGGAGGCTTTCCAGCTGCAAGTGGCGCACGTGGTTCTTGGCAATCAGCACATATCCCTGGACCTCTCTGATGTCCTGGAGACAGACAGACAGACAGAAAAGGTGAGAAGCCAAGAAAAGAGGAGCAAGGAATCCTCGTTGCGCGGCATAGTAAGTTGTCCAAAGGCCACCCAGGGCAACCCCGAAGAGAGGCGGAACCGCCCGTCCTTACGCAGAGTCAGTGTGGTGGAGTGGTCACTCAAACCTGAGTTCCCAGTTCTGGCTGGACTACAACTCCCATCATCCCTAGCTAGCAGGACCTGGGGCCAGGGATGATGGGAGCTGTAGTCCAACAACAGCTGGGGACCCAAGTTTGACAAACACTGGGTTAGAGTGTCAGATGAGGACCTGGCAGACCAGGGTTCAAATCTCCACTCAGCCCTGAAGCTCACTGGGTGACCTTGGCTTTGTCGTCATTTGCTATCTGCCATACTAGAAGCTGCAAGGACACCCAGACAAAAGGCTTCAGATTACAATCTCAGCAGATGGGAAGATTGCTGAGGGAGAAGGCAGTCCAACGAAACACTTTATTAATTATTATTATATATTATTATTATTATTATTATTATTATTATTATTATTATTACCTGGGATCCTGAGCCATGTAGGGCTTTAAAAGTTACAAACAGCTTTGCCTGTCTGTTTCAGAGTATATTGCACCTATACCATTTTCAAAACCTTGGCCTACCCCCATCCCTTGGAGATTCTTTTTCATAAAACTCCAGCAAATATTGTCAAAGGCTTTCTCCGCGTCCACAAAGATCAAAACCGCTTTTCTATTAATGTTCATTTCCAGCAGTTCCACAATGTCTATTATGTTCCTCACATTATCAGACATATGTCTTCCCGGGAGAAAGCCAGCTTGGTCCTTATGAATCTCACCTATCAATACTTTCTTCAGTCTTTTTGCTAAAATGTCTGCAAATATTTTGTAATCCACATTTAGTAATGATATCGGGCGGTAGTTCTTAAACCTGATTCTTTTCAGTCTCAGTTTTTGGTATAAGTGAAATAAAAGCCTCTTTCCACGTTTCAGGTGCCTTTTTCCCCTCCAATATTTCATTGCAGACTTCTTTCAGTGGTTGCACTAAACATTCTTTCAAAACTTTATAATATCTAGCCGTCAAACCATCTGGTCCCGGAGACTTTCCCAGTTGCGCTTTTGAATGGCCTCCTCTATTTCTTGCTCTGTTATTTCTCATTCAAAGTCAACTTGCTCTGTTCTGAAATTTTAGGTAGTCCATGATTTTTAAGGAATTCATCTATTTCTTGTTCATTTCACTGGCCCTTGTGTGTATAATTTCCTAAAAAAGCTTTGAAAACAATTACTTATCTCATTTGGGCTTGTGAATATTCTTTCCCTCTATCTCCAAACAGGTGACTGTATTCAATTTTTGCCTCTTTTTCAATTGCCATGCAAGAAGCTTCCCACATTTGTCTGCTGACTCGAAAGTCCTTTGTCTCATTTGTTTAATTTTCCATTCTATCTCTTGATTTGTCAGTTCCATGTATTGCGTCTGGTAATACTTTATTTCTCTCAAAATTTCTTGAGACTTTGGATTAGACTCAATTTCTTTTCTCCTTCCTTCATTTTTTCCAATATTCTTTCTTTCCTTTCATTTTGCTTTTTCCTTTTAATTGAATTCTGTTGTATCAGAAAGCCTCGCATCACGGCTTTGCTCGCGTCCCAGATTGTTCTTTTTTCCACTTCTGTTCTCTGAGTTTATCTCAAAGTAATCTTTTAATGTCTTTAGGGCCTTTTTACAAAATTGTTCGTCTCTAAATAGGGAGTCATTCATTCTCCATCTGAAGGATCCAGTTGTTGTCATTTTCATTTCCATCTTTACTGCATTATGGTCGGAGCAGGTTTTTGGGCAGATTTCTACTTTCTTTATCTTTGTAGCCATCACACTAGATACCCAGATTTGGTCGATTCTTGACCATGTCATTTTAGATTCCGAGAAAAAGGTTCCCTCTCTCTCGAGAGGGTTCCTTGTTCTCCAGATGTCAATCAAATCCATGTTTTCCGTCATCTCGAAGAAAGTCTTTGGTAGTCTTCCTTCTTTAGAAATTGTCTGTCTTTTGTGCCTTATCCATATTTGTGGAGACCACTCCGTTCATGTCCCCCCATCAGTATTATTTTGCAGTCGAGGTAGTCCAATAAAGTTTCATGCAACTTCTTGAAAATTCGGCCTTCCCATCATTAGGTGCATATATTCCAATTATCAAATATTTTTCTCCCTGAATCTGTACTTCGATTGCCAAATATCTTCCTTCTTCATCCTTGAATTTCATTTTTGGGTCCAATTTTTCTTTTGCATAAATCACTACTCCTCTCTTTTTTTACTTTGTCAGAAGATATAAATTCTTGTCCTAATCTTTTGTTCACCAACAGTTTCCTGTGTACTCTGGTTATATGGGTTTCCTGTAGACATATCAGATCCAGTTGTTCCCTTTTCAAAATGTGGAAAACTTGTCGTTTTTTTCTGGGATGGTTCAAAACCGTTACAGTTCCAACTAAGAAATTGCAGAGACATTTTGTTTATTTGATGTTTGACCCTCGACTGCTCCAAGCTTTTCTTCCTCTTCAGTTGGCGGTTGTGGTAATCCCAAATGATAGATTTGCAATGTCTGTTAGCCCTCCTCCTTCTGGTGTTGATTCTTGTCCTCCTCCTGCCAGGCCCACCGTACCTTTCTGTAGGTCCTCTAGGTTTCTTTCCAAGAAGTTTTCTTTTCCTGTACTGTTCTTATTCTTCTTTTCTTCCCTTTGTAGTTAAAGGACAACCCCTGTGGAAATTCCCACCTGAAAGGTATGAAGTTCTTCCTCAGCAAGTTGGCCAAGTCTCTATAGAAGGCCCTCACTTCCAAGATATATTTAGGGATGTCCTTAAAGATTTGGACTTGAGTGTTTCCAATTACCAAAGCTTTTTGGTAGTGAAGGTCCAGTATCTTATCTCTTCCCTCTTTGGTTCTGAAGGTGATCAGACAATCCCTTGGCTTCTCACTTTGCTTTCTACCAAGTCTGAAAGCAGTTGTTATTTCTACTTCATCCTCCTCCAGATCTCGCCAATTTTCCAAAATTGCCTCTGTGAGAAATTCCGTCAGGTTGTCCTTTTCATTCTCTGGAACCTGTCTTAATTTCAGATTCCGTTCTTTCCGTTGTAGCTCCAGTAAGGAGAGGGCCGCTTCATGCTCATTCACCTTTTTCTCTATCGGTGCAAGTTTTTCCTGTGTCTCCCCGGCAATAGATCTTGCACTCTCTGCAATTTTCCTAGTTTCTGTAGATTCCTGAATCAGTCTATTTATAGATTCTGTATTAGTCGCCACTGACGTGGTGTTCAAGTCCAATCTTGCTGTGAGTTCTGTCAATTTCTTTGTATTTTCTGTAGATTGCTTTGTTAAGGCCTCTAGGGATTGATTTATTTTAAGCAGTGCCTGTGTCATAGATTCCATTGATGCTGCTGTCACACTTTCCGGTGCAGGCACTGTATTGCCAGAGATTGAGCCTCTTTTCTTTTGTGTCACTTTAGCTTTAGATCTGGTTCTTATCTCCTCTGCCGTGCCACTCATATCCCAAGGCCGTTCTCACAGGAAAAACTTGCAATGGAAAATCCCACTGTCAGCCAGTTACTCAGTTTTTTTCCCTCTTAGTCCTCCAGAGGGAGCAATTAATAGTGTCCAAGTCAGAGGAAACAAAGAAACAGAAAGCCGGATGTAAAGAGTCAAAAGTCCGCCATTAAAGTTATTTAAAACTTTTTCTCCAAGTAGATTTAGCTAATCAAATATCTCTAACAAAGTCCCGTTCAAATCTTAAAACTCGTTCACCATTTAAGGTATAGTCTATATCCACTTCATACCTATTTTAAAGAACAATTTTCCCGGTGTTAACTCCTGGCAGATCGTCCCCAGGGGATCAGGGCAGTGGAAAACTTTGTTTCCCTTGAATTAAGAGTATCTTCGCAAGACTGTCTTTTTTTCCCCCTTCTCCTCCGATCAGGGGGAAGAGATACTTTTGACAGCTCAGGGTTGACAGTTCGCAACTAAGTTTCTTATAACTGCAGCGGAATCTTTCGTTGCTTTAAATTTCTGCAGTCCGGGGGGGGCAGACTTCCTTATTTTATTCCCTCCCGTTTTCAGCCAGATTTTCAAATTTTAAAGGGTCCCGATTCTTTTTCTGCTCTTACTCACGGGAATTCAGTCCGAATTTTCTTTTCATAAGCTCTCCGCTTATGGCGACGCGGCTTCACTCCGCAGGCTGGGTAGCGACTCTCAGCACCGCGCTCACTCCCGATGCCGCTCCGGAGCCTTTAAAAAGGCTCTTTCACAGTACCGGGGGGCGCAAAGGTGCCCACCGAGTCTCCTTGCTCTCAGGCTTCAGCGCCTGAGATTTTAAGGGTCCCCCCGCTCGCCGTAGCGGGTAAGACCCGAACTTGCGGAGCAGTCCTTCTCCGGAGCTCGGAGGGAGGACCGCCATTAAGCGCTGGCACCGACCGGAAGTCCGCTCACTCTCTGCCTGACCTACCTCACAGGGTTGTTGTGAGGATAAAAATGGGCAGAAGGAGAGAACCACATACGCCACTTTGAACTCCTTGGAGGAAAGGTGGGATAGGTAAAGGGACCCCTGACCATTAGGTCCAGTTGTGACCAACTCTGGGGTTGCGGTGCTCATCTCGCTTTATTGGCCGAGGGAGCCGGTGTACAGCTTCCGGGTCATGTGGCCAGCATGACTAAGCCGCTTCTGGCGAACCAGAGCAGCGCATGGAAATGCCGTTTACCTTCCCGCTGAAGCGGTACCTATTTATCTACTTGCATTTTGACGTGCTTTTGAACTGCTAGGTTGGCAGGAGCAGGGACCGAGCAACAGGAGCTCACCCCGTCACAGGGATTCGAACCGCCGACCTTCTGATCGGCAAGTCCTAGGCTCTGTGGTTTAACCCACAGCGCCACCCGCGT